TTTCTTTTTGGCATTATTCTACCAGATTTCAATAATGTATATTTGATGCTAAAAATATATTAGCCAATTGTAGATGTGTGTAACATGCCATCCTTTGCAACTTCTTCATATTGTGAAGTATTTATTTACACAGTAAAATATTTATGGGTTTTGTTTTAAACATATAAGCTGCTTTCCACAATTCTACCAAAATGACAGCTTTAGACTAAATAGGTATAGGATGCATTTTAATCCCTATTTCCAGTTAAATAAAGTTTTGTAAAAGTGTGTGTGTATATATCATCTTAAGTTCGAAAGTAATATATATATATATATATATATATAAACTTCAGCAGCCTGAGCCCACAAATAAAAGTTGCAAGGCTCAAAATAAATCTAAAACTGCCAAAATGATAGTAATTATTTTTCTAGTGTTTCATGGATTAGAAGTTAAAATAAAGAAGCAGTTTTATCCACCCATGGAAAAGTGCTCTTAAAACTGTATTCATTTCTTTTATTCTCCTTATCTCATTAATTTCTTTTCTTTTCAGTTGTTTCAGTGTTTCATATATATATTGGGCGAACAAATAAGCATTGAGGGATTTACATGAGATGGCGTTACTAGTATTAAATCTTATTGGACAATCTTGTAACTATAATCATGTTAAAACGTCAACATTTCCATCTAAAAATCAGTGTGTTTCATTTCGCTGAAGTGTAAACAACAAATGTTTTTTGTGTTTTACCTATGTCAACCTTTGTACCAACAAAACAAAATTTGCAGGAAATGATTCTTTTTTGTTTTAGTTTAAAGAAAAGTGCAGCTGATGGACATCGATTGTTGTGTGAAGCATATGGGGCACATGCTCCACCAATAAAAACATGCAACCAGTAAAGTTTGAAGGTGCTGAGTTAGAGGGGTTATTGGATCAAAATTCATGCCAAACTCAAGAGGAGCTCGCCAAAACCTTGGGAGTGACTCCAAAGTGATTTCAAAGTGTCTTAGGCCATGGGTATGGTGCAAAAACAAGGAAATTGAGTTCCGTATGAACTCAACCCAAGAGACATCAAACCACATTTTTTAATGTGCAAACAACTGCTCCAAAGGTAAAATTGGAAGGGGGTTTTCCATCGAATTGGGACTTAGGACAAAAAATAGACCTACTGCGACAACCCAAACCACAGAAAATCTTGTGGTAAGCCCAGCCATGCATCAACTTCAAATGGCCAATCCAAATATTCATAGCAAGAAGCTAATGTTGTGCATCTAGTGGAATCAGCTCGGAGTGATCTGTTATGAAAACCTCCAGCCTTACGGAAACATCACTGGGAAACATTACAAACAACAGTTGCTGCAAATGAGCTGAGCATTGAAGCTCAAATGCCTCCAATATGCCAAAATACATGATAAAGTGATCTTTCAGCATGACAACACTTGCCCACATGCTGCAGAAGTTGTCAAGAAAACCTCCCCTTTAGAGGGTCTTTAGTGGGATGTCCTACCTTACCCGTCATATTCACCAGACATTGCTCCTTCTGACTTCCACTTGTTCCGGTCGATGACTCATGACTTGGCCAAGCAGCAATTCACTTCATACGAAGAAGCCAAAAATTGGGTCGGTTCTTGGATTGCCTCAAAAGACAAGAAATTTTTTTAATGTGGAATCTGTATGCTACCTGAAAGATGAGGGAAAAGTTGTAGCTAATGATGGACGATGCTTTGAATAAAATACGTTCTTCCAACTTCTTTGAATAAAGCTTCAAAGTTACCAAAAAAACAAAAAAAAAAAAAAAAAAAAGACTCAAAACCTATTTGTGCACCCAATAGCTTGTATGAAACATTATTTTAATTTATAATTTATTTATTAATCTCCAACTTAGCATATTGTTGTTATGTATTCTTTAACATTTAATTTAGTTTTTATTATTCTTTGCTTGTAACTTCATTAATCATTAATTTGTTTATCTATTTTTATTTATTCCTGATGGCTATCCATTGAGAGCCAACATTCTTTAATTTTAGACTTTAGGGTAATATATATCGAGCATAATTTAGGACACTGAATGACACTGTAATTCCAAAATTGGGAGAACAGAATATTTTGGAATATGTTACAGTATTAAAAATTTATATAGGTGGATGATGCGTAGAAAATCCTATTTGTTGGGGAATTTTGAATATCATGATTGATCAAGATATATTTTACCTAAACTTTATTCTTTCATTAAAAAAATAATAACCTATTAAACTGATATAAGTGAACTGTTAATGCCTTCTTATTTCTTTATTCTATATGATAAAGCATGGCAATAATAGCCCCAGAATATCCTTATAGGTAAAGCTTCCATGTTATTTTATCGGTTTTCATCTTAACTAACATCCCTCACAATACTATAGTAAGATAAAAGGTTGTTAAAAACTTTACTATATACTAATGCTGTGGTCAAGTTATAAAAAACATTAATGAATAGTAAGCATTCATGTCCAAAAAACTGCAGCAAATGAAGCAAGAACCATTGTAGCTGTTGTTAGTGTTGTAAAATGTCTGCAATGCAGTGTGGGGAAAAGTTACATTCTTTAATTGTTACTCCCCCGAAAAAAAATCTAATGTAGCCAGCACATAACTTTCCACCAGCAGAAGAACAATAAGCTTTAAGTAAACTACCACTTCTGTTTAGTAAATTAAATCTAATTTGTTAATAAACTTTACAGCATAAAGTTAATTATGAACAACACTACTAATTTTTTATCATTCACTTCTCTCCTGCAGTGGATAATGATAACTGTATATGCTCATGTGCACATCAGTTCTCATGCTTTAATTTGAAAATATCGCATCAGTCGTAGCATATCCTCAGGTCATATAGTGTTTTGGATTTACAAATCTGTGATTTAAGAAAGAAACACAAAATTTTTAAAAACAACATATCTTTAGAATTCTTGATAGAGTGTTAGATGTAGCCATACATTTCTTTTTATATTTACTATATCATTTATATTTGCTATATTATTTCTTTAAAATTAGAGTAATAATATTAGTAGTATTATTTAATGGCAGTATTCTGTTATTTGAAAAGTGATTCGACATAAAAGTGAAACAAACAAAAAGTTGAGGATTGAGGCTATTACATTTAATTGTTTCATATCGAGAGCTTTTCTTCATAATAAGTTTTTCTCATTGCATTCAGCATAATTCCAAAACTACATTTAATGATTATAAATCTGATATATCTCAATGTCATGCCTATTTTAAATACCAAATTTGAGAGAGTTCAGAGCTTCAAGTAAAGTATCACTTCCAATTTATCAGTTTGAGCCAAAATCTAATATGTTGTTTCCATTAATATAAAACCTTAAATATTAAAATAGAAAAGTTTTATAATATATTTTAATATAGTTTTTCATTCATTCATTAAAAAATGTTATGGGCTTTGAGTAAAGTACTACTTCCAGTTTGTCCAATTTAACAGAAAATTAACTCTATATATGAATGCAGAAAGCTTAAATACAGAAAATGAAAATTTTTGAAAGTTTCGTGAAGTACTAATTATGGCTGAAAAAATCATCACATAAATATAGGCACACAGACATCAGTGTAGAAAGATTTTTGGGGCTAAATATATTTTGGAGATAATAGTAAAAGTGTGTCCTGGCCTTATATACTGAAAAATCATTTTCTAAAAGTCGTACTTATTTATTGATTCATGAATTCACTAAAATTTATGCTTAGTGACTGAAAACTCGGCAATTTATATTTGGACCCAAAACAAATATGATTCATCATCAACAAACATGAATCACTGTTGAATTTTTGGACATAATATCCCTTATCTATATATTTAGGCTGGCAGAAGGTAATAATGCAGAGTGCTGCCATCAGATTCATACATGTTTTTTTTAGCTTTGAGGCTTCAAGTAAAAGTGACACTTCCAGTTATCCAATTTTATCAAAAATCTAATAATACTCTTTGTGAAAATAGAAAGCTTAAATACAGAAAATTGAAAGTTTTATATAAGAGTTAAATTGGATGAAAAAATTGTCATGCACAGACAGACATCATTCTAAAAATAGTAAAAATGTGTTGTGGGGACCCTAATTCATTATTTGTGGAAAACTCTTAAATTTTTTTGACCAATAACATTATGTCCCTTATCTATGTATATCGGTTGGTGGGAGATAAGAAAGTATGGTGTTCATATAAGATTCTCCTTTTATGTAACTTAATAAAGTTGATCCTGATAGGGAAAAAAATAAAAAAAACTGCAATAAATTTCACTGTTTGGAATTTGGAATATATCAGAGTAAATCACTGTTATCATTTTATTATTCCAGACACTGAGTACCAAAATAATGTCCCAATATATGGCACAAATGCATGGTATTGCTTTAATGGAAAAGTGCAAAATTGGCACATAAAACCAGAGATATTGCTGTGATTTGAATCTACCATCAACAGATCTCTACAAACTTTTATGCCCAAATTTTGGTCTGAAATTTCTTCTACCACTTATAATGACCATCGTAGTTCATTTTTGAGCTGCAACTGCCAATTCAGATTTCCTAGAATAGAGAAATAATCATCTATAAGCAATGTATTTGTATCGACATCACACATTAGAGCTGCTTAAAGAGTAAAGGTGGCCAAAAATCTGAATATATCAAGATAATTTTTGAGAGAAAATTTTAGCTACAATGTATCACATATTCATCTGATTTGAAAACTTAAGCAAAATTAAAGATTATAGTCATAAGGTGTATACCCAAAAGATTATGTGCTCTAATCATCCATTTACCTAACATAATTTTGATGCCTGTTACAACTTATAAAGTAGAAAGGTACCAGATTTTGAATGCCTTTTATATATAATGAACTTTTCATTTATTTACAATGAACTCTCATAATTGATCTCAGTGCTACCCGTATCACAAAGAAAAAACTTGAATATGTAAACTACTTTTTGATTATTTTACATCTTGCAAAATATTGTATTTTTACATATTGGACTAATTTTTTCATAGGCGTGGACATGATAGTACTGGAGTTACAGACCGTGTTGTAAATCAGCTTCTAACACAGTTAGATGGTGTGGAAACTTTAGAAGGTAAGAATAGGAGTTCAAATTATTTAATTTTGTTAATTTTCTAGTTGTAAATTTTTTAGTAGGAATAAAAATAGTTTGTACTTTATTTTTATAATACTGTAACAGTACAGAACTGATTTTTTTAAATTAATTTTCAAGTAATTAGATAATAGATTTCAAGCTGTTAGCTTAGGAGAAATATAATATAAAAAATAAGATGTAAATTAATTAAAAGTACAGTTGAAACATATTTTATAGCAAGCCTTTCCAACCCAAAAGACTGTGGTCACTTTGGAAATGTATTTTATTCTGGTGGGCCACATTCTGGTGGGCCACATCACGATTTCATATTTTTAATTTTATTATTTCCACATGCCATCGTACTAGATATAAACTGGTGATCTAATAACCAGAAAAGTCTGGAATCGTGGAAGTACCGGTGAGTCTGGATCTCAGACTGTATCTGTATATATATATAAATTTTTTAGTTGAAAAATTCAAAACAATATATATTATTGTTTTGGTTAAACATTCATTATTCAGTTAAGCATTTATAACTATACATAAATCAATCGGTCATTTTATGTTTATCAGTCAGTCAGTTATCTATGTTTAACTATAATTAGTGTGCTATTTGTTTCTCTTTTCTTCCATTTTTTTTCCCAAGTTGGTTGATCTCAGTACTTGTATTTGCACATCGTAATTGATGTTACAGTTTTTTGTCAGTTAAGACTGACTGTGATTTTTGTGAATTTCATTTTTGAAAAAAATTTAGTGCATTTTGCAGCTGGGCAGGCTGATTGATGGCTGCTGATTGACCACCCCTGTTTTACAGTGGTGCTGTGTTTTCTGGAAATAAGGTCTAGCAAGATTTTCCAAGATGCTTGTAAGATAAACTCTAGTTAAGATTGTCAATCAGACTTAATGCCAAATTACCAATCAGAATGCAGGCACATTTGATAAAGAACAAACATAGTTTTGAGTGTTTAGAATCTTTGTGTGTTGTAATGTATATATTGAATACACTTATGTGAAATAATAAAACATTTTTGGAATTTTGTGCCTGCAGTTTTTTATTACTTGTGTGTGGTTCGTCAGTCTTAAGAGTTTTTTTTTTTTTTTTCTTTCCATTCTGTGTTGTAAATCTTTAATTAACACTTGATTTAATGATAGATTTAAAGGGAGTAGTATCTTGAAACCTAAACAAGGAGAGAATAAAAAAGGAGCTGTGCCATCAAGTCAATAAAATAATGATAGAGGACTCCTTATGCAAGAATTTTACACCTTTCTGCAAAGACAAGTTAGTTCTCTGAATAATTTGAAAATACAATAATCTCTATCAGCAGATAGATTAAAGGAATCCTAAGAAGCAGAAGAACTAGAAGCCATCATATGTAAATGGATTTCTGATAGAAGAGGAAATGTGGTTTTTTTTTTTTTTTTTTGTGGAGTGTTGTGGTGTGTGGGTGGTTGTGGTGTGAGGGGAGCAAGGCTGATACAAATAGGGGACACACTAAAATAGCTACTCCATAAGTAATTCAAAGTCAATGTTAAGTGGAAGCTTCTTTTCATGACTGTCTAAGACAATCACAACTGTTAAAGCAGATGATTGAAATCATATATGTGCCTACATTCAAGCTTTCGTATCACGCCATTGCCGGAGATTCTCTTGCTTCCTGCGCCCTACATCTTTGAACTATATACCCAATTGAATAATAAAATTTCGAATTGATAAAAGTTATTTTTTAAATATTTATAGGTTGTTGACGACTTACAACTAAATTATAAAAAATGAGTTCTAAACAAAAATCTTTTATGGAAAATAATGCTATATGTAACAGTAAAATTATATATATATAAAATGGCATATAAATGGTAAGCTTAATATTTTGTAAGTAACTTTTCATTGCAAGGGAACGAGTAATAGCTAGTGTTGTGTCATGATATACCAAACCAATAACTATAGTGGAACGCTTCCAGCTAGTTACATATTATGTAAATTAGATTATGAAGAACGATTCCCTTGTTTAAGGTATTAATGGTGATATTTTTGGGAAAGAGGAGGATTTTAAAAAATGCTAGATATATATCATTATTCTTGTTAAGGTAGGTGTAGAGTTTGTTTTAAATCTGCCAAAGATTTAAAGAATATAATTTTTTTATGTTTACAGTAGTAGATGTGTAATAGTTGTTAATAATAATAATAAAAACACTTCCAAATATCAGTAAATCGCAATTGAGATTGCGAATGATCTACGCTTAAATGATTTTTTTTTCACTTTTTACATCCTTGTACAAAGTAAAAGAAGTATTGTAATCACAAAAAATTCCGGGTACCATATTTCAACAAAAATATCTATTTTGGTCGCTATCGAATGCAATTTAACGATGTTCTTGGATGACATCTCTGCATAAGGACACAAAAAGACTCTTTTTCCCCAAACAAATTATAAAACTGATTTAAAATGGACTTTTTTCTGGCGTCTGTATGTATGTACATATGCACATATGTATTTATATATGTATCTCCCATAACTCGAAAACGAATAGCCTCAGAACATTGAAATTTTGTTTGTGGGACTGCTATAACATGTAGATGTGAACCTCCTTTTTTGGTTGCAATCGGCCGCACTAAAAGTATATATATATATATATCTGCTGTGTTACTCAGCTCAGTGAGCTCAGTTTCTTAGTATATGTTTGTAAATTGTGCATTTTTTGCTTTAAAAATAATTGAATTACATTGTTCTTATCTTCCTGTTAAGGTTTTTATGCTTTTAGTTAACCTGCATGTTATAGTTGTAGAATTATCAATAATTTAAAAGTTGTTTAAGTGCGGGTAAGCTTAATTTTTGTAATAAAATGCATGCTTGTAAGTGTTTATGATTAGTGCATGCGCATTAGGTAATAGTCTTAGTGTCTGTGAAACTGTTTCTTTATTTGTTTAATTTCTTTATACTTGTTTATATTATCCTCGTATTTGACTGAGCTGTGGCAAAATAAGATAATTCTTCAGATTCATATGTTTGTGCATTTTGAGTTACAAAATGATTGTAAGAATCCCTTTAATGAACAACACCAGATTGGCATGGTAAAAAATATAGTGAATTTTAAAAGCACATTTATTCTTTTGGCTATGTGCTATCAACAGTAGATTTAATTCAATTCAATAAGTTTAAATGAAATGCAGGAAAAATGCATGTAATTTAACATTCCATACAAGGGAGTCATGTGGTGTACATATCAGACTTTTTTTCACTTTATTTTATCGTGCAAACAATGAAATTTTATTTATAAGGTTAGTAATTTTTTCATTAGGCAGTAATATATGAGTGAAAAATCGCTTTTAAATAATAATAAATTAACAAAAAGAAGAAAAAAAAAACCTAAAGGAAATTTTGGAAATTAAAAAAAAATGTAATGATAGTAATAATTGTGAAGTGCATAATTTCACTGTCTAGATGGCATGCCAAATTTTGTAGCATTAGACCTATCTATTTCTGCGGTATGCAATTCTCACACAAATCCTCTATTTCTTTCTCATAGATAAATAGCATTCTTTGTTTTGTTAAAAAATCATTGTCTGATTAAAAAGGGTTTGACATTTCCTATTAAGGAACATAAATTTTGTCAAAAAATTTGCAGCTAATAAATTTCCCACTGCTAATAATTTTTATCTTGATTGTTCTTTCAGTTTATATTCTCATAAAATTATCCAAATGTCTTTTCGTAAATTGCACCAAATATCAAATTTTACCAATATTAATGGGCAACTTGAGTTTAGATTAATGGGCATCTCGTATCTATTATTTCACATTTAAACTGCGATTGATTAAAAATTCATTTGATTGAAATTAAGTATAACTTTACAGTTCTTTTGATAATTTCCATTTTATATGAATGTAGCGTTAGACCTATTTTGATGCTGTAAACAGTGTGAAAAATCTGTGATTTAATTATAATTTAATTTTTTATGTCTAAGTCCATATTTTATTAATTATTTTTGGCTAAGTACTTTTTTAAAAAAATCTGATATGTGCACCACATGACTTCCTTGTATAGAACATTAAATTATACACTTTTTTTTTTTTTTTTTTCATTTCATTTAAACATATTGGATTGAATTAAATCTACTCGCCGACAGCGCATAAACCACAAGAGATACAAGCACCTCTGGCACTAGGTTCCTTAACAGTATATTCGTTCATATTATAATCAATCACAAATTTTATATCATTTAAAGATTATCTATATTGCACATGTTCTTAATACTATCATAAAGCAGTATGATGTAATAAAGAAATTAAGCAACAAAACAAAAGAAACATTTTTTCACAGACGTTGAGTCCAGAAGTTTCACACTCATTTACTAACTAATTTGTTTAAATAGCAACGCTGGACCTAGGTCATTTAGTCTCCCTACTTTAAACATTTTTAACGCAGAATGCACAAATTTATGCATCTGAAGAATTATCTACTCGTTGCCAATGTTCTAATCAATACTATAATGAATCTAAATAATGTATAACAGAATTTAAAAAATATAGAGAGAAAAAAAACGATTTCACAGATGATTCAGTATTTTCAGTCGATTATTCATTCTCACGCACGACAAGGCAAAAAACATAACACTTCAAATATCATAAAAAAATTATAAACTATCTTAACACTTATTTCTCAAATAAATTCCAGAATGGTAAGCATTATTTCATTCAAATAATAAAAGGCCTTAATCTTTGTGGTGCAAGCTTCCTTTCCTAGATGGAGCAAATCCATTCTGCTAAGTTTCAATTAAACAATATGCCGCCATGTATATTAAAAATTAATTAAAAATTAGGATAGTAAAAATAATTAGGCATGGTCGTAGGTCCTTATAAGTGCTTATAAGTCTTATATTTGGAGAAAATATAAGGCCCTTTAGTTGCTTTACTTTTCTTTAAGCCCTATTTTTGTTTTAGTGCTTTTTTTTTTAATGAATTGCTTTTCCGTACCAAACCAAAACTAAATAAGAACCTTTTTCT